TGAGGCCTGTGTAAGGAAAAAGACTGCATGAGGAAGTGAAGCTGAGAAATGTTCAGTTCTAGCATAGGTGGGAGGAGTTTGTATTTTGAGCAGATAGAGATATTCTCTGGGTCTATTGCAGGCTGGGTGGGGAGTTCTGGGAGAGAGGAAAAAAATATGTTATGGGATAATAATAGAGATACTGCTATACAGATAATATTTCCAGAGAAGCTTTCGGGCAGACACATTTCCTGTTTTTACTTTTTCAAGGGAGATATTTAAGCATTTTTCTTTTTATTCAGTGGCCCTATGCCAGTGAGAGTGGGAGGACTATGATGGAGTTGGACATGCAGACGGACAGCCTTTCTTTGTTTTTTGCTTAAAGAATTATTTAACTTTATTTGTTTTTATATTTTTGACTAGAGAGAGAGAGAGAGAAAGCAAGCCACCAGGTCTGAGCTTGAACCATGGTTGGTGGGAATCCACTGCCCTTAACCATTACGCCACCTGCTGGTCCCATCAGAGAGATAGCCTTTCATAATTCCTGAATACTTTTTGGAGAGTAGAAGCCATCCAGGGGTGGGAAGAGGAAGGGCTTAACAAGTTCCTTTTTGTTGTGCTCCAAAAGACTTTTGAGTTGATTGTTAAATTCAGTTTAACTTAGAAGTCTGTGTTGGCTTTTATAGGGCACAAAGCAGGAAGGCTGATTCTGGGGGCATGCTTCCTGTACTGGACATGCACTAGCCGCTGCTGCTCTGTGTCTGGACTTGCTCCCCATAGCCACGGCCCTGCAGGTGCTGCTGTGGGGAACTCTGATCCATCCTTGTTGCCCATGGGGCTTGATCTGTGTTGTTTCCAGGTGGCTTGGCCTTCCTCTGAGACAGACATCAATTGCAAAGATCAGAGTGGGCTGGCTTTTGAAGAGTTTTTTTTTTTTTTTTTTTTTTTTAAATTCTGCTTTGCATGCATAGAGATGTGGTGTTCCTTTCAAGTTTCCATTCCATCTGTCTCTTGAAAGGGCAGTGGGTGGGTCTTCATGGAACTGGGGGCTATTGATGTTGGCTATGAATTCATTTCAGATTAGTTTCTACATTTTTGTCATAGGCATCTAACAGCCATTGTATTTCCTTGATCTTGACATTGCTCTAGTAAGGCTGCCAGGGAACACAAAAGGTACAATTTCTGTACACTGTCTCAAGCAAGAACAAAGGAAAGTTCTCATGCACCATCAGGGTTATATTAAGTGCCATTTTTAGTGCTTTGCTTTGTGTAATATTGGGTATGAGGTAGTAGCGCTAGTATTACAGGATCATATTGTCTATTGAGCTTCTAGTAACACCTCCTCAAGAAACCTGATACGTAGATTGACTACCACTAATTGCCAGACCCCAAGGGGCTTCAACTATACCATTTCCTATTATTATTTTTTATATTTATTTATTTTGAAGAGATTTTTGCTGTAGGGCATATGTGCTCACTGGGGAGACAAAGAGAAAGAGAGAAAGTGAGAAATCATCTCCCAGGGTGCGGCCATGCTGCAATCCCTTATTGTCCTGAGATCTTGGACACTCACGCACACGTACTTAGTGTGAGGTTCAAGTTACCGAGTTTGGGACTTGAACCATGGTTGGCCCTGTGGGAGTTCAGTACCTTAACTACCATGCCACCTGCTGGCCCCACCACTTCCTAGTCTTTTTATTTTTTAGAATTATTTTAACTTTATTTATTTATTTTTTTTACTTGGTCAGAGAAGGATAGAGTGAGAGGAAGTGCACACGAGGAAAAGTGAGAAAGCAAGACGCCAGGCCTGGGTTACTTGGTCAAAAAAGGATAGAGTGAGAGAAAGTGCGAACGAGGGAAAGTGAGAAAGCAAGACGCCAGGCCTGGGATTCGAACCGCGGTCAGCCGCTTGGGAGTTCAGTGCCCTTAATCACCACATCACCTGCTGGCACCCCCATTTCCTAGTCTTATAACAATCCTGTAAAATAATTTTTTCCTGGCATTGAGACATAGATAAAAAACCAAAACCAGGTCTGAGGCTAAAATTTAGTGTGTTCTCCAAATCCTAAATAAGGTGTATATGTGGATGATGCTTTTGGTCTCCTGAGTCCAAACTCTTTCCTCTTTGCCTTTGACCAGCATGCCATAAATGAACTAAATCTAGCCACCACCTGTCTTTGTTTTATTAGAAAGTGGCCACACCCATTTGATAACATGTTTTCTAGGGTTTTTTTCACACTACAATGGCAGAGTTGAGTAGTTGTAACACAAAGTAGCCTGCAGAGCAGAAAATGTTTAATGTCTAGATGTTTAAGAAAATCTTTATTGACCCCTGAATAATACCATTGCTAACAGTGTTCATGTCACAGCAAATAGGACATTTTTTCTATAGAACATTTCAAGTATAAAAACGCAGAGAGGACTGGCTTTGTAGCACAATGATTGAAGAATCCGGATTCCATAAGGTCGACCACAGTTTAAACCTCAACCCTGGTGGCTTGAAAAACACACCAGGTGCATGTGTGTGCATGCCCAAATTTCTTTCTTTCTTTTCTTTTTTTTTTCTTTTTCTTTTTTTTGGAGAGGTTTTTGCTATAGGGCGTGTACGCTCGCCACACAGAGAGCGAGACAGAGACAGAAAGCAGGAAATCACCCCCCAGGGGGGGATGGCCACGCTGCAATCCCTTCTCCTCCATTCTCCTCTCTGGATCTTGGGCACACACTCACACACGCCTGGCATGAGTTTAAGCCACTGGGTCCAGGACTCGAACCACGGTCGACTATGTGGGAGTCCAGCAACATAGCCATTACGCTAACTGCTGGTCCCATATGCCCAAATTTCTGACTGAAAGGAAAAAGGATTTTGGCATGAGCACACCCCAATGGAGTGTGCTCTTCTCCCTCTCTCTCTCTCAGAGTACACAAACCCAGAGACACATCTATCTCTCTGCCTCGCTTTTTTTTTTTTTCATTTTTATTTCATTTTATCTTCCAAATATTTTTGTTAGGATTTTGTGGAGACGGTAGCTTTTACCTCTTGAGCCTAAATGCCAGTAAGCAATAGTTTAATTTATTTAGAGGTTTCCTGTCAGGAATCTTGTAATGGCTTATTTGAGATTCTGAATGGTTTCATTTTTCATTGGGACTTTCTTTCCTGAGGGGAAAATGTCAGGTAATATAATCATTGATAGTTAAGCAAATTCTGCTACTTTTATTTGGAAAGGAGAAACATCTCTGTTTTTGCCTGATGTTTATATACTCTTTTTTTTTTTTTCTTCTTTTGAGAGGTTTTTGCTACAGGGTGCATGTATGTGCCAGAGAGACATAGAGAGGCTGAGAGACAGAAAGTAAGAAATTATCCCACAAGGAGGGATGGCCACACCACAGTCCCTTTTCTACATTCCTCTTAGGATTTTGGGCATGCACGCACACTTGCCCAGCATGAGTTTCAAGCCACTGGGTCTGGAATTTCAACTGTGGTCGGCCACGTGGAAGTCCAGTGATCTGCTGGTCCTGTTAATATACTTTTTTTTAAAAAAAAAGATAATTATTCATTTAATTTTGTTTATTGTTATTTTTTAATTTGACTAGAGAGAGCAGGAAAGTGTGAAAGCAAGGTGCCAGGTCCAGGAGACAAACTGTGGTTGGCCATATGGGAGTCCAGCACCTCAGCTGTCACACTACCTGTGAGACCCCCCCTTAATATTCTCTTATATGGGCAAATTCTAGCCAATATAGGGTCAAGGCAATATTAATATCAGTTGTATGCACCTCGGGGTTACTAAGATGGCTATTTTCAAATATCAGTGTATTAATACATAAGAAACACTTTTTAAAGAATTATTTAATTTTATTCATTCATTTATTTTTATTTGATGAGAGAGAGAGAGAGAAAGTGAGAAAGCAAGCCACAGGTCCAGGACTCAAACCACAGTTGGCCGTGCGGGAGTGTCCAGCACCTTAACCACCACGCCACCTGCTGGTCCCCATAAGAAACACTTCTAAGTGCTTGTTAGAAAAATGTGGATTCTTAGATCCTCAACCCTGGAGATTATGAATCAATAAGTCTAGTGTAGATGCCTCTGATGCTTACGAAAAAAAGCTAGTTTGGGGGCATAGTGTCTCATTTCAAAGCTATGATTTACGGAAGTCCATGTAAGGATATAATCTATGTCTAATATTTTTTTCTTTCCCTTCTATGAGTGAGAAAAAGAGAAATAAAGACAAAGGGATAGCACCCCTGATAGAGTCTTGACACAGCAATCCACACTCTGCCTCATCCACTCCTAGATCCTGGGCACGCATGTGCCTGGTGTACTCAGTGTGGTCTCTGAGGGACTGTCCCTTATAGCTTAGCCTGGCAGAACATTGCATTTTACCACTGAGCCACGGTCTGGCCCCTCATCAGTAGCTTTTTTCATCCTGGTTCATTTTACTTTGGAATTTGATGTAGCTATACACTTGAAATGTTTAAGTACAACATCATGGGAGATAAAATTATACCACTCTAAATGTGTTTTAACTACTACTATTACCACTAATAGTGACAATAACATTTTATGTTTATGCTTTATCATTAGAGGGTTCCTCATTATTCACATCTCATTTGATTTTTACATCAACCCTTCAGGTTGATGTGGTGAGTGGTGTAATTTTCATTTTTCAAGGAGATAACCGATATTTAGGAAACAGGTGATGCTTTTTTTTTTCCAACACAGCAGAGCTAATAAGCAGTGCATTAGAGACTCCCTCACAGCACTTCTAATTCTTAGTCCATTGTTAACTACCAGTGTACCACGGTGTCCTTATTCATGCCTGTTTTGACTGTTAGAGGAAAATGGAATCACTTTATAACACACTGCCTTCTGACAGCCAAGATGAGCTGTCCACAGTTAACTACGTTGGTAGTCTCCCATAGGGACTCCTTGTGGAGGTGATCACAGTTACGTGCAGACTAATAAATTAGCTGTCTTCACAGAACATTCCTAGCAGGGAAGAAATGTTTCTGCTTTCTTTAACAGAAACTTTACAAGACGGGTCGGGAGATGCAGGAAAGGATCATGGACCTGCTTGTGGTTGTGGAGAATGAAGATGTAACTGTTGAACTAATTCAAGTGAATGAGGATTTGAATAATGTCATCCTTGGATATGAGAGGTAAGCAAATAGATAACCCTCTTTGACCCTCCACCAATGCTAATTTTACCACCAGTTACTCAACCTTCGTGTTCAAGTGTCCACAAGGGAACATTTTTCTAGGTCCTCTATTCTTAACAAAAGTCGTATGTGTCACTTTGAGTAAGACAGTGAGTCCGTACGTGACTCCCCACTCACCGAATGCCCAATATTCCTTCTAGTGAAAGTAACACTTCTAGGTGCCCTTGGAGCTCTGTCTCTGTTGAGATTTACTGAAGATGTTCCAAATATTGATCATATTTCTAACCAGATGATGAAGAATAATACCCATCTAACAGGAGAGAGAGGTGAATATTCCTGGACTGAAATCTAGCCGATGTTTTTGGATAAGTCGCATAACTTTTCTAAGACTTAGGGTTTTTTTCTTATCTAATGATATCTATTTGATGAGATTGGCCTTTTTTATTTTCTTGGCATTGTGGAATAGGGATTAAATGAGAGAATTATATAAAAGCAGCTAGCAGAGTATTAGCACATCGATGTCCCCTAAGTATTAATTTATCTTCCTCCCCATTAATGTTCCAGTTAGCCTTTTAATTAATGAATTAATTAATTCATTACCTAGGTGTTTTATTTATTTATTTTTATTATTGATGATGAGTGAGCCAAGAGAATAGTGAAATAAAACCAGTAGCTCTGAAATGCTGGTTTCTTTCCTTTGTTATTTCATATAATATATAACTACCGTTTAGGGATAGCTAGTATTCATATGAAAAGGTGACAGGGCAAGAAATGATGCAAGCCCAGGTGTTGTGCTTTCTCTCTCTTTTTTTTTTTTTTTTGAAGAATTATTGATTTAATTTATTCATTCATTTATTTTAATTTGACCAGAGGGAGAGACAAAGAGAAAGAGAGGAAAAATGAGAAAGCAATTCATCAGGTCTGGAACTTGAACTGTGGTTGGCCAAGTGGGAGTGTTCAGTGCCTTAACCGCCATGCCACCTGCTGGCCCCTATGTGCTTTCTCTCTTAACACTGAACAAGCTCACAGTCCCTGCCCTTTGTTTTCAGTGGTAAAAATCTTTGCTAAGTGGAAAAATATCCCAGGGAAACTGCCTAGTTTTCAGTATAGTGCTGTCTTCTGGTTTTGAGTTTGGAGAACTCCATTGGAACTCCTAAGACTATTATGTAAAGGCTTCCTCAGAGGGGGTATGTATGTTAAATTGGTCTAAGTATTAGGATATGGATTCCCTTCTGTGAACAGCTCATTCTGATTAAAATTTGAACCACATGTGATGTGCCAAAACAACTACATGAAACTATGTGATAAGAAACACTTAAGTCCTAAGATTAAGAGAGAACTTCTTTCCCCTAGAGAAAAGATACCAGTTAGGTGTTTTAGTTGTCTTTGGCTATCGTAGTAAATTACTGCAAGCTTAGTGGAATAAAACAAAGCAAATTTGTCTTCATAAGATAATAAATTACACTTCTGCATCTCAGAAGTTTTCAGTGCGTATCACTGGGTTAAATTCAGGATGTCAGGAAGGCTGCAGTTCCTTTAGAAGGTTCTTAGAGAAGTATCTATCTCCTCATATTTTACACCTTCTGCAGGAGGCTGCCCACTTTCCCTGGCTCCTGGTCCCCTTTCTCCATCCTTAAGGCAGCGATGTCTGGTTCAGTTCTGTTTATGTTATAGCATTCCTACTTCTTTTACATTTTCCTCTTTCATAATTAAGGATCTTTATGACTACATTGGGCTCATCTGTGTATGCCAGGATCATCTCCATGTTAAAGTCAGCTCACTAGCAAATTTTGTTCCATTTGAAAACATTTAAAAGTTCCCTCTTGCTGTGTCACCTAACATGTTCAGTGGTTCCATTGACTTTGATGTGGAAATCTTTGAAAAGGTGTCTTTTTTCTGCCTATCACAGTCTGTACTCTGATCCCCAAAGAGTCATGATCATCCTACATGCAAAATACATGGAACAACCCCCAAAACTCTACTCCTTACATCCAGGAATATAGTTGTGAAAATAAGGGAATTGAAATTTGTTACTCAGGAGTAACAATCTGGAAAGGTTGTTTATACCTAATGCAGAACTATCATAAAAGAGTAGAATGGCTTAGTAGACTATACTTGTTCTGTACAGTCAATAAAAATGCTTATGACTGTTTTTATCTACTTGGAAATTTTATCTACTTGGGACAATACCTGTCAAAATGTTGGATGTGATAAGCACAGCATGGGTTGGCCCCATGATGCGATAGTTAGATGCTGTACATAGAAAGCCAAATCACATGTGGCTAACTAGGGTTCAAATCCTGACCACAGAGCCACCTGGTACCAGGGGCCAGCCTGTGGCATGGTGCTTAAGGCAGCAGGATCCCACATGACTGACTGTGTAGTTAAAGTCCTGGATCCAGTGGCTTGAAAAACATGCTAGGCACTTATGTGTGTATGTCCAAAATTCTGAAGGAGAACTGGAGAAGAAAAGATTGCAGTATGGCTGTCCCCTGACATGTTTTTTCACGTTCTCTCTCTCTGTCTTCCTCTGGTGTGTTCAAATACCCCCTGGCAAATTCAAAAGTCAAGCAAACAATACCGGGTGAGTAAGTGTGCATTCCCAGAATCCTGACAGGAGGCAGGAAGGCAGGAAAAAGGATTGTAGCATGACCATACCTCATTGTGGGATCTCTCTGGCTCTCTTTCTCTAACATACATGGCCACTGGCAATAAAAAAAGATTAGTAACATGTTTTGTTTTCTTATAGTGTCTCTAAGGTATTAATTCTTGATAAATTAGAAAAAAGCGATTCAAAGTATTTTACTGGAAATCGAGTATGAATGAGGCTATTTTCATTCCTAAATATTTTGCATTTTAGTAACATAACTTTTATAGCATTTCCATATCTATTCTATTAAATACTGGCATTTTGCTAATTCAAACAGGTTTACTCGAAACCAGCAAAGGATCTTGGAGCAAAATGGAAACCAGATGGAAGCCACCAATGTGAGTGATTAAAAATAAATAATTGATGGGACCAGCAGATGAAGTAATGGTTACATCATTGGATTCCTATGTAGTTGACCATGGTTTGAGTCCTGGACCCAGCAGCTTAAAATCCACACTGGGTGCATGCATGTGCGTGCCCAAAATGCTGAGAGGAGAATGGAGGAAAAGAGATTGCTGCAAGGCCATTCCTCACGGGGGCATTTTTCACTTCTATCTCTTTGACTCTATTTCCCTGACAAGCACATGTGCCCTTTTGCAAAAATACCTCAAAAAATAAATAAATAAATGAACACTTCAGTTTGGTACAATAAGAAGCAAGACTTACCTAAAACAGGTTGTAAAAAAGAGGAGACATGTGTGGTGTTTATGTGTGCTTTCCTTTTAATTACTAGAGGACACGTGTGCATGCCAAAAAAGACAAAAGAAACTACAAGAGATATCACCCCATAGTTAGATGAGGTTATGTCATAGTCCTGTCTCCATTTCACCATCCAGGTGGGATTTTTTGCACGCACCTACACATGCGCAGTGTTTTTTTGTAAACGGCAGGGGCTGAGATTTGAACTGCAGCTGGCCATGTGGGGTCTGGCTCACCATAACCACCAGGCTATAGGGCCAGCTCAACTTGGAGAGGTTTGAACGGCATAACATATTTGTCTTAATAACTTCATGTTATTGAGTTATTAATAAGCAGTTGAAAGATTTCCTAATTAAGCAAGAACTTATGCAAGTGGTGAGTTTTTACTCATGTTAGTAATGCCCACTGAACAGAGAATTCTTCAAAATACATCCAAATAGGTCCTTCCCTCTTCAAAGGGAAGTCTATAGAAAGAAAACCATGATAAACTACATGACATATTTTTTTTCTAAATTGTGTTTTTCTCTGCTCTGTCTCCAGACTACCAGTGAACCTTCTGCCCCATCTCGTGATCTCCTGGACCTAAGTCCCAGCCCTCCGATGCCTAGGACCATGCCAGGAGAGCTCAACACCGTGAATGCTCAGCTTTCAGACTTAAGTAAATAAGCGCTTGGGCTTTTTCAAACTAGCAGAAGAGCTTGATGTGGAATAGTTCTCCATGGTTTCATAATTAAATGGCACATGAGAAGGACTAAAGGCAGTTTGACTCTCAGAGGACTGTATTGGGTGATGTTATTTCTTCTTAGCAAATGGTTGCGTCAGACCCAATCATGGAATGGGATGTGTCTAGGGGAAGGATCCTTGAAACTCATTCCACTGCCTTAGAATCTCATGGAATTGACCTGGCCTACTTCATAGAAGTGGTTGAGCTCTATGGCCAATCTTTAAGTTTACTCTGAACCTATACTATTAGCATTGGGTTTTTCTCCTATACCACAGCATCAAGGTAAGGAAATAGTCTGTGAAGATAGAGAAATTCAGGAATTAGGAGTCATGTCCCATGTGGTGGTAAAATGTGAAAGGAAAAACAAGTTTTAGAGTCAGACAAGTTCAAATTGAAATCTCAGTCTTTCCACTTCTTAACTACCTAACCTTTGAGACTTTCCTATTTCATAAACCAATGGATGCTTTAAAAGGTTGCTGTGAAGGTAAATGAAATTTTGTTTATTGGAATTTTATATTCAACTTATTTGTTGCCATCTTTTGTCCTTTTATTCCCAAAAAGTATTGGTAAATTGCAAAATAAGGGTAGTGAAAATGCTGAATTCCAGAAGTTTTACCAACTAAAGTCAGCTTGTTTCTCTTTGGTATCTGATGTTGCCAAAGTGGAAAAAATAAAATAAAATACTCAGTACCACTGAATTCGTAGTTTTCTTATAAGTTTCCCTATTTCTAAAATATTGTATATTTGCATTTATAAACCAATGGAATATGTGGAATCAGTTATATTGGAAAGTTTTTTTGGGTTTTTATCAGATATTTTAAAGGGAGGAAAATAATGATTTGTTTTGAGAGGTTTGACTTAAGATTATGGGAAGTTAAGAGTTTGTAGGTGAGGGTAGAATTCTCTATATCCCATAACTTCTGAACTTTGTACTAGGTAAAATAAGACATGTAAAACCCTTCCCATTCTGAATCAGCTTGGGATTTCAGAAAACTCAATACAATAATATAATACTTGTTTCTTTTACGACAACCTCTTTTTGTGCCAGGACATGAATGTTTCCTTCTAACAACTATAATAATAATGTAAAATTTTTGTTAGAGGAAGTTCCCTGATTTTATGGTGACAACTGTCTAAAGTAATCTCTTCAACGTGTTTTGTTTTATTTTGTGTTGATTTTTACTATGAAAAATTCTGCATATTACACCCGACTGAAAATAAATCTTTTCAAGTCAAACAAGTCTGTTTTGTGTTCTAGGTTTCAGATCTCCGAGTCCTGTTGTAACAAACAACGTGAAACCTAGTCTTTATCCACAGATGGATTTGCTAGCTTCGGAAAATACAGAAGTACCCCTGTAAGTATGTTGATAACACTGTAGAACTGACATCATGGTATTCTGATTCCATATATTTAAAAAAACATAGCATAATAGAAGAAAGTAGAGTCTTGAGAAGTAAACCTGAGTTAGAATCTCAGCACACTTTCTATGTGTTATAGGATGAGATACTTAGCTACTGTGAATCTCCCTTTTTCTTCGAAGAATACTTGATAGGATTCTAACAAAACCTCAGTAATACACAATATGCAAAATGGCTAGTTTGTGGAGCTAGCAAGTAGCATGGTGGTTCAGGCACTGGATTCCTACATGGTTAACTGTGGTTCAAGACCCTGCCCCAATGGCTTGAAACTCACACTGGGCAAGTGTGTGTGCATACACAAAGTCCCAAGAGGAAAATGGAGGAGAAGGGATTGTGGCATGGCCATCCCTCTGTGCAGTGATTTCACACTTTCTGTCTGTCTGTCTCCGGTGAGTGCATGCGTCCTATGTCTAAAATCCCTCTTAAAAAACAAACCAAAAAAAACCCCCTGCTACTATAGCACTTGGTGTCTCCGGTGAGTATATGCGTCTTATGTCTAAAATCCCTCTTAAAAAACAAACAAAAAAAAACCCCCTGCTACTATAGCACTTGGTACATAATAAGCCTTTAATAAATTGTCTGTATCTGTTATTTTTTAGTGGTCACAGGGATAGGAAGAACACAAGAGAAATAACAAGGCCAATAGAGGAGGAAAATAAATGAGTTTCAAAATCGTAATGGCCTGTGTCAGCCCTTAGTGTGGTTGTTAATGGAGCTGGATCCCTCATGGCTAAATGTGTGGTTCAAGTCCTGGACTCAGTGGCTTGCAAAATCTTCTGGATGTGTGTGCATGCATGCCCAAAATCCTGAAAGGAAGGAAAAGTGGAGGAAAAGGGATTACATCATGACTATCCCCCATGAGGAGAGTGGTGCTTCCTCACTCTCTCTGCCTCTGGCAAATTAAAAAAAAAAAAAAAAAGTAATGGCCATACCAATTATAGACATTTGCCATGTGCAAGGTCCCTTGCTAAGCTATTTTTGTTTCTTTTGTGTATTTTTTGTAAAAGTTTTTGGGTCAGTGCTGCCATTTCTTTGTATAGGAGAAATTCTGAGACCGAAGGACTAGAACTTGCCCTAGTTCCCATAGCCAGTAAGTAGCAAGCCTAATGAGCTGAGAGTTCACTGAAAAAGAAATGTTAACAACCCATAAATAAATATGTTTGTATTCAACTTCACTTGTATTAGAGGAATGTAAATTAAATTACAGAAAGACGTTTGTTTATTTTACATCTCCGATTGGCAGGAGTCCAAATGTTTGATCACATACTTCACTGGCTATGGACACACAGATAATAATCACAAAATTATGCTGCTCTTAGGAATGGCAAGGGGTAATATCTATTAATATTATAAATGCATATACTTTTGAACTTCTTATTTGTAAGAATTTATGCTGTAAATTTGCAAAATTAGATGTACCCTAGATTACTCTTTACAACATTTTGGACAGTAGCAAATCATTGTAAACAACTCAAGTATCCATCAAATAGGGCTTCACTAAGGAAATCATGTAATATTTTATTATACAGTTGGCAGGAAAAGTGGGCTCTATATGAGGGATAACCACTAATATATTATGTGTGGGAAGAAAAGGTGCAAAGTAGTATGCGTATACTATATTCTATTTGCAAAATATAATGGGACATAAGAATATGTGTATGTATATTTTTAAATTTTTGCCAGAGTATGTGTGTGCTCACTAGAGAGAAATAGAACGAGAGAGAGAGAGAGGGAGAAATCAGCCCTTAGGGAGACAGCCACTTAGCAGTCCTTTCTCCTCCATTCTCTTCTCGGGATTTAGGGTACGCATGCACATGTGCCCAGCATGTTTCTCAAGCCACTGGATCTGAGACTTGAATCCCATGTGTTGGCACATGGGATTCAGCCATCAACACCACCACGTCACCAGCTGACCCTATGCCTTGTGTTTTTGAATTTTTAAAAAATGTTACAGATGGGGGCTAGCAGGTGGCATGGTGGTTAGGGCACTGGACTTCCACATAGATGACTGCAGTTCAAATCCTAGACCTGGCTGCTTGCTTTCTCACTTTCCCTCCTTCTCTCTGGTGAGTGTACATGCTTTACAGCAAATTGAAAAATAGTGGCAATAATAAATAAAATTAAATAGTTCTTTAAAAAAGTTGTTACAGATGCAGGAAACTGTAATTATTAGACCAATATTTTATAGTATCGTACCTTGAAGTGATAAGTTGATGAGGGCATATGTCTTTGTTAAATCATATGCCTAAAATCACACATGAAAGGCAAAATTAGCCAGTAAAATGTCTGACAGTCTTGAGATTTTTTCCCCCACCCTTTTGTGTTTGCAGTGTAATATGTTCACCATAACAGAACTGTGATGCAATTATTCATAACAGAAGGATCCTTGAAAATCAGTAATGATGATGGGATGAAGTCATTGAGATTATTTTCTCTGTCATCTTGTTTTGCTACTAAGCACATTCTGGAGTGCAATTCACATCTGTCCCATATATGTCCACCTCGTGGTGAATCTGAGGTGTGGACAGTAGTTGATGTGTTCAGTTTTCAACACCTTAACCATCCTGAGATTAGATCCATTGATACACAGTCACGGGTGAGCTGAGCATTTTATATACAACTTTATGAGTTCTTTTTCCTGAAATTCTTCATCTTTGTGACTTCTCTGGTACTTTTTAGTCTCTTGGGCTACCCTTTTTGGTTTTCTGGTCATAAAGCTGAATTTTAGTTACCTTACTATGCCATGCATGTGCTGGACTGAGCTTGCTGCATCTATGTTAAATGCAGGATAGAAAGGGAAAAGAAACAAGGGGTTCTCCTTGTCCTCTCGGTATCACAGCTCCAGTTGTTGGAGAAGAAGATTCCTCTCACCTGGAATTTTATTTATTTGTTTGTTTGTTTTGTTTTGGTCTTTCTTTTTTAAAGAATTATTTATTTAATTTTATTTATTTATTCATTTTATTTTTTAATTTGACCAGAAAGACAGAGAGAGAGAATGAGAGAGAGAGAGAGGGAAAGTAAAAAAGCAAGCCACCAGGTCCGAAACTCGAATCGTGGTTGGCCATGTGGGAGTCCAGTGCCTTTATACACCATGCCACCTACCGGCCCGTTTTGGTCTTTTTAGAGATTTTTGCTACAGGGCATATTTGCTTACCAGAGAGACAGAGAGAGACAAAAGACAAGAAATCATCTCCAAGGGGAGGTTGCCATGCCACAGTCTCTTCTCCACTGTTCTCTCAGGATGAGAATTTTAAGAAGCCAGGTCCAGGACTTGAACTGTGGTCAGCTGCATGAGAGTCCAGTGATTTAACCATTATGCTGGTTCCTCACCCGGAGTCTAGGTGTATAGGTCCCTGTTACCTCTGCTGTGACTGTAGCCATTTTAGGGTACCATGGTGTAAGAGACTAGAGAGGACAAACAGCAGACAAGGAATTTATTTGCATACTCTAAGCATTAGGATTCTGCTTTCCTGCTTCTTGAGTGAGAATGAGAGGAGGTTCCCTGCAGCTCTGTCTGTCCTCACTGATGCTCACATTTCTGTTGCAGGGTACATTGCATTCAGGTCAGGGAATAGAAAAGGGCAAAAAATGCAAGTTCACCAACAATTCAGTGATACGCAAGTCCTCTTTCCAGATCAGACAGCTATTGCTTATTTTTAGTCCTCAAATAGCGGTTCTGTGCATTCTGCCCTGCTTTAAGTTATTTACACTCAGTTGAAGACAGAGCGAAGTATATCTACTCCATCTACTGCCAATCCATCTCTCAGGTTTCTTCTCAACCTTTACCCTGCACATCTCTCATCCCTCCAGAAATGATGATGTGGTAGCTACTCTGATGGGAAAGCCCAAAGGCTCTGTTCTTATTACTGTGTGCACCTCAGGGTCTCAGGGCCTGCTGCCACAGGACAGTGCTTTATGTCTTTGATATCTGGGCATCATGACCTGGTGGGTACTGAAGCCAGATGGCAGTTTTTGTATAAAACTAACACTTCATATAGTCTGAAGGTACATTTTAGGTTTTGTCGTTAGACCAGGAAAATCATCTTACTTTTTGCATTTGTGTTCTCACTGTAGGGTAATCATGCTGTGTTATCACACTATCTTAGGTTTACCCAAAGGACCAGCCAAAACCTCACCTCGAGGCAAACGTATGAAAATGTAAGTAACAAAACCCTGTCCTGGCAGTGTACTGGGTCAGCAGATGGTTGTAGCCAAAAGACAAGAACTAGTCATTCCTTCTCATGTTCCACTCAGTAATGTGTTCATATAGCCCTTGTTAGGACTTTTCCTTTGTCTTACTTCTGTTAGAAAGATGGTTAAGGATCAGAATTTCATAAAAGTTATTTATATTTGCTGTCTTCTTTTTCTTTTCTCCCGTCTTCTTGGATAGACTTCAGACAGGCTCTCATCCCTACCATGCTGCAGACATAGCTCCTATCAGGGCACCAGTGACTTCTATATTTGTGTGTGTGTGTGTGTGTGTGTGTGTATGTGTGTGTGTGTGTGTGTGTGTATTTCTCTTTAATGACCTTTTAATGGCTAGGACCTTAGGGCTTCATCTCAGCCTTCTTGGATAGACTTCAGACAGGCTCTCATCCCTACCATGCTGCAGACATAGCTCCTATCAGGGCACCAGTGACTTCTATATTTGTGTGTGTGTGTGTGTGTGTGTGTGTATGTGTGTGTGTGTGTGTGTGTGTGTGTGTGTGTGTGTGTATTTCTCCTTTACTGACCTTTTAATGCTAGGACCTTAGGGCTTCATCTCAGCCTTCAATAATTGTATTTCTTCCTCTTTGATTTTTTGGTCTCATATCTTGAAATAACCGTGTGAATTCTGACAACATACAGCTTGTATCTCTGGCTTAGACACCCTTCCTCAACTCAGAACTGTACATCCACATCACAACTCTCGATTTCCTTCCAATCCGCCCTTCCTACAGACTTCTCACCTCAGTAAGTTGCCACTCTACTTTTCCAGTTGCTCTGGTTAAAAACCATGGATAATAGTGCTTGACCTCTACTTTTTTGCCTTTTGCTTTCCAAATTTGTCCGTCATCCTGTCACTTCCTACGGCCTTCACTTCTGTATCTCAGTCCAAGCACCATCAGATGGATAACGCAGTGGCCCTTTGTGATTGCTGTTTGTGATTGCTTTTGCCTCCTTGCTCTCCCTTCCTCCCCACCTTATAATCTATTCTCAAAAGAGAAACCAGAGCAGCTTTCTGAAAAAAGTGAAGGCATATTATGTCACACATTTACTCAAAACCTACCTATTATTTTCTTCTTCACTCTGTTTTCCTCAGTAAAGCCTGAAATGGCGATCTGATCCCACCAGTTACCCTTTGCCCCTCTATGTTGGCTTACTCTGCTCCAGCTACACACTGGCCGCCTCCACTTCAGAACCTGTGAACTTATCCTCTCTGCTAATCACAGGGCTCACTTCATTCAGGGCTCTAAGTGTCTCTAGAGGTGCGATATCCTCTGACCACTAGCTATCTGGGCAGTATCCCACCCCAGCCTCTCTTTTCCCCATCATCCCATTTTGTTATGATAGTATGTGCCATCTGAGACTTGTTTATATTTATTGATTGATGGCTCTGTGATGACAGGGACTTGTTCTATTTTATTTACTGCTTTGTTAATAATGCAACTCTGTAGGTACCTGGACATTTTTGGGGAAAGGATGAAGAAAATTATCAGAGATATTTCTAATGAAGATTAACTTTTTATCAGTTCTAATTTGATAGCATCACTCTCTGCCTCTCCTAGATTTAAGATTTTATTTTTTACTGCTCAAGGCTGACATTTTGTATTCAGAGTGAAACAACAGAGAATCTGGACTGACCCACACAGTCCTGCCTCTTTTTTTAAAAGCAAAATGCCTTTTCGGTCCAGCTGATAGCATGGTGGTAAAGGTGGCTGGATCCACATGGCTTGACTGCATGGTTTAAGTCCCAGCCCCAACAATTTGAAAAACATGTTTGTTGCGTGAGCGTGCATGCCCAAAATCCAAGAAAAAAAGGAAAAGGAATTGTGGGGTAGCCTCCCATGAAGCGTGCTTTCTCACTTTCACTTTCCCTCTCTTTCTCTCCAGCAAGTGCATGCACCCTTTGGTAAATTAAAATGAAAAAGAGCAACATGATTTTTAAAGTTTTATATGGAAAATGGGGTGCAGTGGGTACAAAACCAGACAAAAAGTAGTAAATTTTACAAGTAGTTATTACCCCAAAAAACCCTAAAATAATAGTTAATAATTACCGGTTCTTGTTCTATCAAGAGTATCTGGTTCTGGGAGCAGTGCCACTTGGAAGCCTAGGAGAATGTAAATGACAATAAATAAATGAAAACTTAATGTTGAATGTTTGAACATGTATTATACTTCCTTCAGTTTTCAGAACATTCGAATTCAGTATTACTACAGCCAGTCAGTCTACACAGTGCCACAGCAACACCATCAACCCAGAGGCTGCCACGCTTGCCCAGCAATCACCCAGGTCCGTAAGACTATCATTTACATCAAATAAGGAAACTTGTGAGAATACGTGAGTCTGCCAGGGATTGATTAGTCATTAAAAATTGATAGGAAAAGTTAGAGGAGCTCATTTGCATTTTTAAGTTATATGAAGTAAATTTAGGGCAGATGCTATTATAACTGATAATAGGAGATTATAAAATGCTTTTGTTGGGCAAAAGTGCTCTTAAGCTCCATGCATTGGGAGCCAGATCCCACATGATTAACCATGGGATGAGTCCTCCCCCAGCTATTCATAAAACAGGTTGTCTTTGTATATCTAAAATCCTGATGGAAAGGAGAAATAGAGGAAAGAGGCTGTGGTCTGACCATACTCCACCAGGGAGTGCTCTCTCTCTCTCTCTCTCTGTGTATATCTATATATGTATACATGTGTGTGTGTGTGTGTATCTGGTGAGCACAGGTGCCCTTTGGCAGTTAAAGAAAAAAATGCTTTGGGACCAGCAGTCAGCGTAATGGCTATGTCGCTGGACTCCCACATAGTTGACCGCGGTTCACGTCCTGGACCCAGTGGCTTAAAACTCACACTGGGCGCGTGTGCGTGCGTGCCTGAGATCCCGAGAGGAGAATGGAGGAGAAGGGATTGTGGCGTGGCCATCCCCCCCCGGGGGGGGGTGATTTCTCGCTTTCTGTCTCTCTGTCTCTCTCTGTCTGGCGAGTGCACACGCCCTATAGCAAAAACCTCTAAAAAAATAAAAAAGAAAAAGAAAAAAATGCTTTTATTGGACTGAATTTGTACAGTAGTTTCCCCATATCTGTGGTTTTACTTTCTGTAGTTTCAGTTACCTGCAGTCAGCCACAGTCCAAAATAGGTGAAAATAGTATATTTTGAGAGAAAGAACAGGAGAAACCATATTGAAATCATTTTTATTACAGTGTTTTGTAATAATTATTCTATCATGTTACTGTTATTCTATTTTATCCTGTTACTGTTGTAATCTTTCACTGTGCCTGATTTATGAATTAAACTCTCTCCTAAGTATGTAAATATAGAAAAAACCAGATGCAGTACTGGTTGCTTATTGTTATCACAATTTACTATATGCCTCATTGATACACTTTGGCATAGGTGTGTATATACAGAAGAAAATGTGTATCAGACTCAGTACAGTTCCCTGTTTCCAGCTCCTCTGAAGGTCTCGGAATGTAGTCCCTGCAGATATGGGAGGGCTACTGTGTTTTGAACTCTAAAGTAATGAACATTTAATTTCAGTTTAGAAATCTTTATGTATAGATTTGCTGAACTTAGGAATATGGGAACACCAGCCTTGTTTTGGTTGTGTCAGGATATTGTACTTGAAGTCTAAATTATAAAGAGAATATTAATTATGTGTAGTCTGGAAAAGCACAGTGTGTGTTTACCGTTCTCTTTTTTGCCTGAAGCGATGACAAAGAATGATCTCCAGCCACACAATTACTACGAAGTAATGGAGTTTGATCCCTTAGCGCCTGCTGTCACTGAAGAGTAAGTCATTCACAGAATGATTCATTTATATTTGTCTTGGTTCCCTTTGATAGCAGAGCTATCAGGGCTTGGTTATACATTTGACTTTGTTTCGGGCTTGGCAGAAATTGATGGCCTTATTAAAAATGATTTATGAGGTTTTATGGCAGCTGTTGCTTCTGGTGGTCTTATCATCCCTAGCTTTGTGGCTAAACCCCCTAGCTGGGGTTTCATATTAAGAATCGACCGGAACCAACATGTTCATTAATAGGTTCCTCATGGATGCCTTGGCAGAGTCAGGGTCTCTCTAGATTGAGAAAGGCATTATTCAGTGATCAGAGATGTAAGATAATACCATATTGATAGGAACTTTTAGCTGTTCTTTGAGAATTGATCCAAAAAATGTATAAAGAATTTGTTTTTAGTCTTCACTACATTTGATGACAGTGTGCTTAAAATGGACTAATATGAAGTTATTATTATAAAAATTATTTTTCGGGACCAGCAGATGGCGTAATCGCTACATTACTGGACTCCCATGTAGTCGATTGCCGTTCCAGTCCCAGATCTGATGGCTTAAACTCACACTGGGTGCATGTGCGTGCATGCCCAAAATCCCAAGAGGAGAATGGAGAAGGGATTGTGGCATGGCCATACCCCCGGAGGGTGATTTCTCATTTTTTTCTCTTTCTTTCTGGCGCACACATGCACCCTATAGCAAAAACCTCTCAAAAAAAAATTATTTTTCAACTTGGAACCCTTAAAGCACCATTAGTTTATACTTTCATAGGGCCAGATGTATATAGATATTTAGGAGATGATAGGCTCAATGGAACTTTAGTATATATACTTTCAGTGACTGAAAGTTTCCTCAAAATTGTTAAAAATGACTAAAGTGAGTTTATGGAGTCCATTTTCAGAAATTAGCAGCTTGCAGGCTTCCTCTTGCCTATAGTTGTGTTTTGTTTGACCTATGCAGAATTTAAAATATACATTTAAAAAATTAATCATCAGACCAGCTGGTAGTATGGTAGTTGGGTGGACTGGATCTCACATGGCCTATAGCATGGTTTGACACCGGCTCAGCAGCTCAAGAAACACACTGGGCACATGGGCCCAAAGTCTCAAGAAAATGAAGAAGGGGTTGCAGTGTGGCCATCCCCCCTGGTGGAATGAAAAAGGAATGGCAGCGTGGCCATCCCCCCTGGTGGATACCTTCTCAAGTTACCCGTCTCTCTAGTGAGTGCATGTATGCTATCATTTAAAGAAAAAAGTACCACCAGTTAAAAACTGGGATTTTAAAAATAAAATGAAAGCGTTCTTAATCTTTTGGGTACTCTGTCAACATCAAACACACATTTTTACTTGCCAGGAACAGGTTGGGGCTGAGTCGTCTCCTTTATGCAAGGTGTGCTCTGCAGTCTCCCGTCTGCTCATCGCCAGACTTGTGTAGACACTTAGTGTTTTCACCTCTGGTGTAAATTGTCAATGAAGTGATCAGTTTGGGAATAATTTATGAACATTAGTTGATTTAAGTGTCCACTAAGTAATTCTCTTTTTCCTAATTCAGGATTGAGAAAATGTCCTACATATTCTGCTTAATAAAGTAGATATATCACTGAATACGTTGGGTTGTCGGAAAAGTCATGACGTATTTTTCTGTGCAAAACTGTGTCATGACTTTTCTGACAACCAAATATCTGTGTTTTAGAAACTGTTATAAAAGTAGGTATGCTTTCTAGAATTTAATGTTTTTTCTCATTTCTGCATTCAAAAAGAGGTGCTTGATGACATTCATTAATTAGGAGATTGCCGTAAGTTGATCTGGCAGTGTGACAGTGAAGGTGAGAGAGACATAAGGAAGTTGAAGAGGTGAAGCTTTGGAATTCTTTACCAACTAATTCTTAGTTTTGGGGGTGGGGGTGAGGGGTGGGGGGTGGCGGTTACTGTCTCCTTGACATGAAGTCCAGGGAAATTCTCTGCAAGGACAAGCACAGAATCTTGCAGAAAAGTTCTGGAATTTCACATCACTGGTTGCTGAACCCCACGTAAAGAATTTTTGCTCTAGCAGGACATAGCACAACAGCAGCAGGTATACATACACACGACACATGACTCATTTGACAAATTTATTGAACATTTCCCACGTGCCAGGATCCGTGATGTGTACCTAATTTGTAATGTTGAACAGGAAACACACTGTTTTCATAGAGGCTAAATGTGATGTGGACAGAAATTAAACCAAGCAAATACAGTTGCAATTTGGGTTAATAGTATTAAAGAATATGGTATCTTAGAAAAGTATATAACTGGAAGAACTAATTTAAATGGGAGTCACAGAAAGCATGGGGAGATGGCATGAAAGCCGAGATGTACAAGTGTTAGTCAGGTGACAGGTTTGGGATAAATATTATAGACCCAGGGCAGTTCGTACAAATATCCAAAGAAAGTGTTTTGGCAACTTCAAGGAGATGGACACACCAAAGAATAAAGAAACAGGGGACCTAATACTAGATGTGAAATTGTAACTTGGAAGCAAAGAGAAGCCAGTGCACAACTGTGAAGAACATGGTTGAAAAGACAAAATGAGAACTGAAAATTAGACCATGGATTAAGTAACATGGAAATCATTAGTGATTTTAGATAAATCCATTTTGGTGGACTCATGGAGACAGAAGTCAATTTTCAGTGTATTAAAGAGAGGAAATAAGAGACAAAAAGTGCAGATAATTACTAAAACTTAAACATGAAGAGATGATGGAAGGTGGCTTGGCAGCTGGAAGATTACTGAGACGGTTACTGCAAGTAGACATGGGATTAAAGACTGTACTGTATCATATAAAATGGGAGCTGTTGGAGCATCAGTGTAAGCTGATGGATAGAAGAGGCTGAAGATTCAGGAAGAGGGGATAACTGAAGGAGGGAAGTATTTGGGAGGTCACAGGATAGTGCAGATGTTAAACAAAGATTTGGCAAAGGAAAGATGAAGAGGTTCCCATAGCAAGGCATTTACTTTATGAAGAAGGGAGGTTTACTGAGAAAGATCGAAGGCTTGAGTGTGTGGAAGACTGAAATTGTTTTAAAAAAAGAAAGACAAAGCCTTCTAGAGTAAGAAACATATTAAAATTACAGGACCATGCAGGGGCCTCAGGAAGTTGATGACTATAATTTCAAAATACTGTGATTTTTATGAGTCATGTTTTGCTGTATCGTATATATGAATGACATGGTTTGGGGAATTATACAGGTATCTGTGAGACATACATAAAACAATTAAAGGATGTCATAGAAAAAGGATAATATAAAGGCAGAAATCAGAGTCATAAGCTCGAGGTTGGTCAGGAGTCTGGACTGCTATCATATAGGTTAAATGAGCTGGAATATTATTTTTTAAAAGTGTTTTCAAACCAGGAAAAAATGAACAATTTTTGATTTCCTGAGTAGGAAGATACCCCGTTCCCCTGCAGTCTCCCAGCCAGTGTGGATGACAAGGGAAGCGGGTGTACCCAGTGTGTTCAGGTTGACCAGGAATCTAAATGCAGGCCTTCTCTGTGGGTTTAGTATCATCTAGTAGTGCCTTACTGCTTGTGTCATTAAGTTTTTTTTTCTCAAGCAAATTATCTAAATTCAAGCCATTATTTCTTATTTAAATCAAAAGTGAACTGGCTTTATAAGATGTCTATCTTTAAGAGGTATAGGAATTGCAACTTTATAATTTTTTTTTTTTGAGAGGTTTTTGTTAATAGGGCTTGTGCGCTCACCAGAAAGAGAGAGACAGACAGAAAGTGAAAAATCACCCTCCTGGGGTGATGGCCACACCACAATCCCCTCTCCTCCTCTCTTCTCGGGATCTTGGGCATGCACACACACGCACCCAGTGTGTTTAAGCCACTGGTCCAGGACTCAAACCGTGGTCGACTACATGGGAGTCCAGTGACATAGCCATCATGCCAACTGCTGGTCCCGCAACTTTAGAATTAAAAAAAACTAAAATGCAAGCTTCACAGAATCAATCTCTCTCATTCAGAGACATAGCCTCAGTTACCCAGAAAGCCTAGTTCCTAGTTATGGTGCTAACAGTTAAAAATCAAAATAGTACTGGGATTAGCAGATCGTGTAATGGTTACATTGCTGGACTCCCACATAGTTAACTGTGGTTAGAGTCTCAAACCGGTAGACTTAGAACTCACGCCAAGCATGTGTGTATGCATGCGTGTCCAATATCCTCAGGAGAATGGAGAAGAGACTGCAGTGTGGCCAAACCGGTAGACTTAGAACTCACGCCAGGCATGTGTGTATGCGTGCGTGTCCAATATCCTCAGAGGAGAATGGAGAAGAGACTGCAGTGTGGCCATTCCTACTGGGGGTGAGGAGATAATTTCTTGCTTTCTGGCTCTCTGTCAAGCGCACAGACCCTATAGCAAAAATTAAAAAAAAAAACAAAAAAACAAAAAACTTGTACTTTGAAATAGATATATTACCCTTTTGCCATGTTTTGTGTGTTTCAGAACTATTTATGAAGAAATTGATGCTCACCTCAAAGGAAATCAGTCATAGTAGCTGTTGAGGTAAAGATTTAAACTTATTTACATTTCACATTCCATATAATCCCAGAGTAATTATCACTTTCTGTATTTATATTTTGTAAGGGCTGTGTCATTCTGATCCTTGGGTGAGTCTTCAAAATGTACATGGAAAATGTATGTTACTGAAAAACTAGGCATGGGTTTCAAGAATTGTTTTGTACCAAAATAAACTTGTGTTTTAATTCCTTTTAAGTCCCTTCATATTATAACATTTTTCTGAATCAATCAAATTGTAAAGAACTAACAAAAAACATCTTATGACCTTGTCAGCTACAAATAATAAGGCTTGGGAATATAAAAATTGCTTTATGGAGTAGAAATATTAATGTCAACAAAAATGGACAATCCACAGAAACTTCTTAGCACTGAAATCAGACATTTGTCTTCAATGTGAAGTTAATACCTGTTAACAGGTTCCAGTAGAACCCCTTCATTGATAGTCCTCCACGTAGGTCTGGGTTTTTTCCCCTGTTCCCTGCAGTTGTCATCCCACTTATTTACTAATGACCAGGGACCTGTTACACTTACTCATTGCCCTCACACCCTTCCCCATGGAATACATTCTCGCCTTTCCTCTACTACTGTGGCTCTCCAGGGCCACAGTATTTCTCCCAATAGAGAAAGTCCTAGGAAAAAGTTAGCAAGGAATAGGCAAAAGAGGACAAGATCAAGACTGACCATCTTCTCTTTATTCTAGGTGAAAGTGGATGCCAACTCCCTAAAGGTAGACCCTGACTTTGAGGCATGGAAGAAAGACCAACCAACATGTCAAAGGCACAATGCAACATTTCTTCTCTGCTATAATGAAGTTTAAACAGAACAGTAACAGGTCTTGCTAGCATTTTTGATTCTTGACAACAGCTCAGGATTTATTTCAATAGAACTTGGTTGTAGCAGATACTCACTTAAAACCCAGTGGAAGAAAATTACTGAGTGCTTAGGCCAGCCAGTTTAATTTCAGTATCTTGTTTCATAGGCCTTCATTTCGAAAAGAAATCATCACATAGCTGTGATAAGAGTAGATGAAGATGATTTTACTACAGATTAATTCTGAATAGATGTAAGCTTGAAATGTGAGACACTAAATGTATTATTCAGGAAGAACACTGAGTGCCTTTATTTACATAAAATTGAATGTAAAACTCAATTTGCACTACTTTATAAAAACAATACTTTTGTTTATAATTATGATTTGTAAAAAGTCTTGATGATTGTAGTTTAATTACATTTCAGGTATCCTGAACAAGTCAAGCAGACTCTGCATTGGGTGGTCTTTAAATGTTAAATGTTTTCTTTTTTCTTTCTTTTCTACTATAATGTAACATTTCTATTTGGAACAACTACTGGAAAATATTCAGAATAAATTGTACATCTATTTACACAAACTACAATGACAAATTACTATTAAAATATTTTAATACATCTTTTTTTACAGAGTTTGTTCCCAGAATTTTTGATGACAGTAAATCTTCATAATCCCACCCTTACATTGGAACTATGATAGTTAATGCTAGCAGCCTAGTAAATGTGCAGTTGGACTTCAAAAGTACATAGAAAATGTGTATTATGAAAATACTATGCATAGATTTCAAAAGGTTCTTGCACCAAAATAAACTCACACTTTAATTCATTTTTCATGAACTTCTTGCAGTCCCTTCATATTTATGCATCTGATTTCAATTTCATGAAATCACAATTCCAAAGTAAATAACTGTTCAGTATGCTCAATATAAGTAGCCCTAGACCTTGAATTAAAAAAAAAAAAAAGCCAAATTTGAAAGAAGAGCATAGTATTTGGGTAAGCTGCTGGGGCTTAGTGTCTCCTTTGTTACTTTAGTTGTTTAAGTAGTGACTCTTCCTATTGAAAGAAATAATAAAATAGCGAAGGAGACAGTAATAAGCACGATCAGAAGTTCTGAATTATGGCCTAAAATAAATGACCCTGGGCATAATTTTTTTAAATTCTTAGATTCACTTCTCAGATTCATTCACAGTTATGAAGGAATAATAATTTGGCAAGGAACTACTGAAATGAGCTGAAGCCTCAAGTCAATGCCTACATAGAAGTATTTGAGAAAGAAAGCAGTTTCTAAGTAGGTCTGTGGGTTTCATAACATAACAGCTGAACCTGTTCTCTCAATTTAGGTGGGATAAATTAGTTGGGGGAAAAAAAGAACTATTTAAAATCAGTTTCACATTACTGAAGAGTATTTCACATCTGGGGCTAGCAGATGGCAAGGTGGTTAAGGCAGCTTGATCCAACATGGCAGATGGTATAGTTCGAGTCCCAGACCCAGCAACTTGAACACCAGGCCCAACTGTGTGTGTGCCCCAAATCCTTAGAAGAGAATGGATAAGGAACAGTAGGTAGGCCAACCCCCATGGGGGCTGCTTTTTCACTTTCCTTCTCTGTCTCTTTCCAGTGAGCGTACTTGCCCTATAGCAAGTTTAAAAAAAATTCTCATCTGAGAAGGCAAGACACATGATTTTTCAAAAATCACAAATTTGAAGCAGGCCTTCATTGTTGATTTTAGTTATAGCCTGGAACTGGCAACTTGTGCCCTTCCTTTGCTTCAAAAAAGGTATAAGAAAGAGTGATGAGATCAACATTCACCATTCTTGGATCTTCAGCAAATTCAGGATCAATGTAGAAAAACACTGGCATGTCTACTTCTTCTTGGGGGTTAAGCCTTTGTTCTTCAAAACAGAAACACTAGAAGTTACAGAAAGGTATTCACTCAGTAACATTGCTCCACTTTAATAAGCATACTGTTAAACATAATCTTTGCATTATGTGATAGAGTAACAAGGTCTTTTCATCTCAAATTGAGGTTTGCTTTAAGGACTGAGAACAAACAAATACAATTCCCATCTTAAAAGAAGATATCCATTTGATTTGGCTCTCAAGCTCTGCCTAAGCAGGTAAAAATGATGAATAAAATTAGGTTGAAGTTTAGAAGAAATGAGTTTTCTGAAATTATTAGTATCTATTAAAACACTGTTGTCTCAACCATGATGACACAGAGAGGGGGCTGTATCCAATGGCTGAGGCTATACCAGAGTCCAGGTTCAGTTCCTGGCCCAGTCTAAAACTGGTTGGGTCTGGTACCATATACCTATGATCCTAGCTAACTGGGAGGCTAGGGCAAAAAAGGGGACCCTGTCCAAAAAAACCTATCTGGGGACTAGACAGCAGCACAGTAGTCACACAATACTCTGTAAAGGTGACCGAGAGGACAAAGTTTCAGGTTATGTCTGGAGACTTTCCTAAAGACACCAAGCTCATATATACCCAAGATACCAGGAGCTAGCTGAAGCTGAAGTGGATTGCAAGTGTGAAGACCCAGTTGGAGTGCCCATCTCTCTTGCTCATGGAAGAGAGAAAAAGAGAAACTTAAAAAACAAAAAACCCTCTTTCTCTTACCCTCCCATACACAGGCTATCTTCTCTTAAAAAACTGACAAAATAGTGAGAAAGTCACCCACTGTAGTAGGTTTCATATGAACTAGTTCAAGTACCTGTATCATATTCTATAAAGTTGGCCTTAGTTATACCTGTATTTTATTGAAATACTGTCCAGCTTCAAATGGTACAACATTGTATGTAGAAATTCCAATTACTGGTTTGTCAGTAGGATTCTTAGCTTTGTAAAACGCCAGTGCAGTCTCTCCCGGTACCACCTATTTTAAAGAACACATATAACAAAACTTTAAGTATCATATGCTCCTTTTTTTCCAGCTTCATTAGTCATCTGTTTTTCCTATTCATCATACCATAATACCTAAGCTAATGTAAAGTTCAACAAAATAGTGACTATTACCTATAAACACATGTGGGTTTCAAATTACCTACATATGTCAATGAAGAATTAATGCTTTATTATACATAATTTGTTATGGACTGTCATCTTGGATATCTGACGTCTTCAAACAACAATCCCTAAATTATTTAAGATGTGTCTAGGGGGACCAGCAGATGGCATAGTGGTTAAGCTGTTAGTCTCCCACATGACCCGATTTGAGCCCCAGACTCAGGAGCTTAGAACTCACAACAGGCATGTGTGTGTTGTGCCCAAAATCCCAAGAGGAGAATGGAGCAGAAGGGATTGTGGCATGGCCATCTCCAGTGGGGAGGGGTGAATTTCTTGCTTTCTGTCTCTCAGGCGAACACATGTACCCTATGGCAAAAATCTATAAATAAATAAATAAAAGCCAAGTACATCATAGCCCATACCTAACCTCTTAACACATCTGAATGTCATGACTAAATATATTTTTTTAAAGATACCAACAGCATCCTAAGTTTATCTTATAATTACAGTAAATTAAACTCAGAACCAGAGTAAAGCCAACTGAATAGAATATTTAACCAAAAAGTGTTAATACTCTGTTTTGAAAAAATAACTAAGAAAAATAGCAAGACTTCATAAAAAAAAAAAAAAAATTGAAATACTGTCCAGCTTCAAATGGTACAACATTGTATGTAGAAATTCCAATTACTGGTTTGTCAGTAGGATTCTTAGCTTTGTAAAACGCCAGTGCAGTCTCTCCCGGTACCACCTATTTTAAAGAACACATATAACAAAACTTTAAGTATCATATGCTCCTTTTTTTCCAGCTTCATTAGTCATCTGTTTTTCCTATTCATCATACCATAATACCTAAGCTAATGTAAAGTTCAACAAAATAGTGACTATTACCTATAAACACATGTGGGTTTCAAATTACCTACATATGTCAATGAAGAATTAATGCTTTATTATACATAATTTGTTATGGACTGTCATCTTGGATATCTGACGTCTTCAAACAACAATCCCTAAATTATTTAAGATGTGTCTAGGGGGACCAGCAGATGGCATAGTGGTTAAGCTGTTAGTCTCCCACATGACCCGATTTGAGCCCCAGACTCAGGAGCTTAGAACTCACAACAGGCATGTGTGTGTTGTGCCCAAAATCCCAAGAGGAGAATGGAGCAGAAGGGATTGTGGCATGGCCATCTCCAGTGGGGAGGGGTGAATTTCTTGCTTTCTGTCTCTCAGGCGAACACATGTACCCTATGGCAAAAATCTATAAATAAATAAATAAAAGCCAAGTACATCATAGCCCATACCTAACCTCTTAACACATCTGAATGTCATGACTAAATATATTTTTTTAAAGATACCAACAGCATCCTAAGTTTATCTTATAATTACAGTAAATTAAACTCAGAACCAGAGTAAAGCCAACTGAATAGAATATTTAACCAAAAAGTGTTAATACTCTGTTTTGAAAAAATAACTAAGAAAAATAGCAAGACTTCATAAAAAAAAAAAAAAAATCCAAAGGATATTCTGTCACTTTTACCAAAGTAGCAATTAATGCCTGTATACTACCATGTAATTGGAACCAATATCCAAAATCATGACTTATAAAATCTTTAATCATTAAAGACATTCAGTTGTGTTACTAAACGGAGCAAGTACTGATACATATAAGTTTCCCCGTAGGAGTTAATATTAAATCTGTCTTGCCAATCCTTGTTAATGGAATAATTTCATTAAAATCCTCCCAAGATGGCAGTCAAAATTTGGGAAACTTTTTAGGTGTAGTCTTACCAAAGTCTAAGACAACTATTTAACATCTCACTTTTGAATTCTTCCAAATTTCCTCAATTTTTTTTTCTTTTTGAATGAGAAGGATATTCTTGACATAAACCAGTACATAACTTGAAACAATGTGCGAATAAAACAGATGACACTTTCCATTGTCCCAATCTGACTTTTACTATAATGTAACTTAAAAGTTAAAATACACTTGTTACATTAGGTATAGGGCACTATCAAAAGTAATCTGTAAGGCCTGCTGCGTAACTTAGTGGTTAAGGTACCCAAATCTCACGTGGCCAGCAATGGTTTGAATCCTAGCCCTGATGACTTGAAAAACACACTGGGTGCCTACGTGCGTGTATATGCCCTAAATCCCAACAGGATGGAGAAGTGGAGAAAAAGGGATTGCAGTGTGTTCACACCCCATTGTGGGAGGTACTCCCCCCCACTTGTCAGCAAGCACACATGCCCTCTAGCAATGAAAAAAAAAGTCTATAGGAATAAAATAATTACAGTAACGGAATTTATCAGTGCTTTGAAATCAAGTTTAGGTGACTGAAACAGTTTATATGATGAAGGAATGTTTTATACTGAGAAAAGTAATCTTTTAATGACTGCTTTATCACTTACATATATTTCTGTTTGCTGAGGTCTAAAGTTCCACTGGAGACTTGCATGCACATCTGCATTAAAGGTAACTTTAATGATTCGATCCTTAACAGGCACCATGTTTTCAATCTGGTCCGATGCATGACCTGCAACTGCTGACCCTCCAAGTCCAGTAGTCTAGAAAAAGATGCCAAATACATTAAACAATATTTTTAGGTGGTGATGATCTGTTTATTAGATAAAAATTATTAAAAACAATAATCCAGTTGGAGCCAAGTTTACATATTAACTCCTGTCTGCTTCTATAACTGCCAATGGTTTGGCCACTTTGGGAGTGTCAAGAGCATTCATTTGTTAAAGTCATTCCTATTTTTTCGCAATCACTTGGTTATCTGATATGGTCAACAACAAATCATTTTAGAAAAAAATAGATTCTCTAGATAAGTGAATTATCACAAATAATAGAACTCAAAATTTCCAGAATAATTTTTTATTAAGTATACTTTCTTTTATTGCTATGCTCACATTTTATATTAACTATTCACTAATAGAAATAAAATCCATTACACTGATATTTTCAGTGAAAATGCTGAAATAATTCTATTTTCCATGCTTCTGTCTAGTCTTCTGCTATATCAAAGCTTTAATAGTCTGAATAGTTTTAGCTTCACTTTTATGTTCTGCTTTTCTACAGTATCATAAACATTTTTTGGTATTAATGTTATTCATCTTTTTCTGTACTTCTATGCATAGTACAAGTTTCATAGATAACAGCAGTTAATCAGAGCACTTAATCCCTTTGGCCACTGAATAAGCCAATCATAAGGCACCAGGATAATCTGTATTTGACAGTTCTTACTTATCCTCATTGCCATAAATTATTTTTGTATCATTAGATGCTTTAAAAAAAAATCCTTACTTCCACAGTCATCATTCTTCTGATGCTCAAGGTTGCCAGATTTCTGGTTTCCGGATAATTTACCTGTTACTATCCTAGAGAAAAAATACCAAATTTGAGGCTAGGAGAAAGACTCCCAGCAAGATGGAGTATTACTCTCTTCTGCTTATTATACAAGTCAACTAGTCTCACTCAGCTGCCATGCAACATTATTAAATTATTACATCTAAAAAATACATCAGAGGGTAAGCCTTTATTTTTATTTGACAGAGCAGTCGTTCCACTTAAGAGTACTACGATGTTTGATGTTTGAATTTTAAGATATAGCTCCTTTTCTGAAAGAATTTGAGTCATTGAATAAAACAAAACAAAAAATTAAGTGTCTTGCCTCAAAGATTCTTTACCGTATTCTTTGAATAAAGATTCTTTAAATTTTTTTCTTTCATTTGCTAGAGGGCATGTGTGCTCTCCAGAGACAGAAAAAGTGAGAAAGCACTCCCCATGGGAGGCACTAAAGCCACAGTCTTTCCATTTCTGCTTCCTTTCCGGATTTTGGTCATGCACACACATGCCCAGCCGCTAGGTTGGGACTTGAAATGTGCAGTCAGCCATGTGCAATCCAGCCACTTTAACCACCAGCTGGTCCAGATTCTTCAAATTTCTAAGGTCAATGCTTACAGAAATGAAAACAGATCAAATAGAGTAGAAAGGAGCACTGACAAGAAAAGAAGGCCTGGGTTCTTGTCTAGTTCCACTAACTTTCTCCAAGAACTGAAAAAGTTATTATTTTGGGGAGACTACACTTTATATGCTTAAGTAATCCCTCGTTTTAGCTCTAAAATGCTGTGATTCTAGAGGTAACAGAGGTGCTCTTTTGGAAATACCACTAACATTCATCTTCATTTCGGGATTATATATACTTTTTTTTTTGTTATATGGTACGTGTGCTCTCTGGAGAGACAACAGACAGCGAGAAATCACCCCCCAGGGGGAACGGCCACACTGCAATCTTTTCTCCATTCTCCTCTCAGGATTTTGGGCATGCACACACATGTGCTCAGTGTGAGTTTTAAGCTGCCACGTCCAGGACTTGAACTGCAGTCAACTACATGGAAGTCCAATGAAGTAACCATTATGCCATCTGCTGGCTCCTATAAATTATTTTTTAAATTATTTTTATTAAAAAATTTTACTAACACAACTGTACATATTTGTGGGTACATATTTTCAGTACAAGAATACAATGTGCAGTGTCTAAGTCTGGGTAATTAGTACGCCTATCATCTCAACCATTTCAGTCATTACTTTGGCTCCCCTCATTCTTTCCAGTCACTCATAGTCATTGTTCAACTTTCTATTGCTATGACAACAGGTTTTTTTTTTTTTCAATTTCTACGTGTGAGGGAGAAATAAATTACATTTTTTACCTTCCCGCCCTATGATTACATCTGAACACACACACACGTCTGCTATTGTCATTACTTCAGTTTGGGCCAGGGTTTCTCGACCTTAGCACCACTAACATTTTGTGTTGGACAATTCTTTGTTAGTGAGAGGGTTGTTTTCCATTGGGTATTTATATCAGCCTCCCTAGCCTTCACCCACTAGATGCCAGTAGCACCGTTATTTCCCCTTCCACCCCCGCTGCCCTAGGTTTTGACAAGGAAAAATATCTCCACACATTGCTAAATCTTCCCTGGGATACAATATTATTTCACTTTGGTTTCTAGTGCTTTGAGGGGACCTGTACTTGATTTGGATTCAGTTCTGCTTATGACCTAACTAATGTGTGGTTTGGGGGTTCATGTCTGGTCCAGGCTGGCCTTTGATGAAAAGTAATTCACATTCTATACACATCTTCCAAAAAGCTATTACACATTCCCACATAAATACTGACATTAGAAGGCTGAAAAACCATTTAAAAGATAAGTTGATCTCCCCTAAAGATAAGTGAAGTAAGTCAGGCATTTACAGTGGTGACAAGAAAAAGCAGTAACCTCTGTTATAAATAACAATAATGGCATTAAATAGGGATTCCCAGACTGTTGCACAATAGGAATTAATTTAAATTACTGAAGCCTGGCTACCACTCTGACATTCTGATTCAACTGGTAAGGTGTGGGACCTGCACAGTTGGACTCTTAAAAGCTCTCCAGGTGATTCCAAGTACAACCAAGTCTGGGAACCACTAACATAAACACTTACACAATGTACAGCTCTCACTGTGACATGATATCTAAACAAATTCCTGTTCTCTGTCACAGATCTCCTAATCAGAATCTGTGAAGGAGAAGAGCCCTGGGGCCAGCAGGTAGAGTAGTGGTTAAGGCACTGGACTCACACATGGCTGACAGCAGTTTAAGCCCTGGACCTGGGGGCTTGAAGACCACGCTGGGCATATGCATGTGTGTCCAGAATCCCAAAAGGAGAATGGAGAAGAAGGGACTGCAGGATGATCATCTGCCCAGGGGGTAATTTCTCACTTTTCCTAGGTCTCTAGTACACATCCCATGGCAAAAACAAAACAAAACAAGAAGAAGAGCCCTGACATGGGTATTTAAACCCTGGGCTTTAGGATCACGTAATGCAAACTACTAGTTCATAACTAAGGGGAAACCTATAAAATAAGTGAAGTCTGATTTTGCCAGTGGTTCTCAAACATCAGTCTGACTCTAAATCAGCTGGACTACTTAGTAAAATACAGGTTGCTGGTCCCTGTTCCCAGAGTTTCTGACATAGTAATTCTGGAATTGAGCCCAAGAATATGAACTCTTAGCAGTTTCCCATGTGATGTGAGGCTGCTCTTCTTGGAACCACAGGAGAAGCACTGCAGTAGAACTTCTGATCTAAAAGGGAGTTCAGGGACCAGCAGATGGATAGCGTTATGTCACTGGACTCCCACATGGTTGACTGCAGTTTGAGTCCCGGGCTGGGTGGCTTCAAAATTAGACCAGAGCATGTGTGGGTGTCGAAGATCCCTGGAGAATGGAGGAGAGGGGACTGCAGCATGGCCAGGCCCTCTGTGGGGTGATTTCTCACTTTCCCTATCACTGTATCTGTCTCTCTGGGGAGTACACGTGCCCTAAGGCAAGAAAATCTCTAAAACAGTAAATAAAATAAAAGGGAGTCCAGGGTAAAAGACAAGTTATTGATGTGTATTAACATGGGGAGGGAGGGATCAGTGGCTAAGTGGAAAATAGGATACGTCGGTGGGGCAGACCCAATGGGAGGGTGGCAGTTACAGACACCTTCCTGACTGTGCCTGCATGCCCATCATTGGGTTGGCCTGGGTGAAACTGGAGGTGGATCCTGGTGTCAGGGCCCCCGTCGGGAGTGAAGTATCTGTGTGTGCGTGTGTCTCACGGAAGAAGAGAAAACAAAAACCTTAAAATATATATATCTGTACTCCCATTTCCAGGGTTAACCTTAGCACATAAACCACACGTGAGTCACAGATGAATGGATTCAATCATATTTTAAAAACATGTGCGAGCCTGAGGGTAAGACAAACTGCTGGGTGCCAGAGACCTGTAGCTCAGAGGTCGAGGAATGTCACTCTCCTCCGTGGGATGAGCACGAAGATCACTAGGAGGGCTGGGGTTCTACTTGCACCTCTGCCCCTAACAAGGTGACCTTGGGCGAGTCACCGTTTTGATCCAGATTTCTCTCGGGTAGATACCTTGAGACACCCCTTCCGACTACGACCCCGTGAGGCGATCGCTGTCCGGAACACGTCCTGCACCTCCGCCCCTCCTGACCGTCAGGCCGAGTGCGCAGCCCCGGTCCCTACCTGGCAGTAGAGACGATACAGGGGTACCGCCGCATAGGACGCCCCCAGCATGCCCACGGACGCCGGCTTGCGTGGCCCCCTGTTTGTCCCCCGGCCGCCAGTCCTCCTCCTGAGCGCGCGTGAAAGGGTTGGAGCTCTTCGGCCGCCGTGGGGGCTGCCCTGCAGGGTCCCGGGCCAGGCTGGGGCGTTTCCATGTCCCGAACTGCCTCAGGCCCCTCTCGGCGCCTCCTGCCCCACTCCACCCCGGCCTAAAGAACGGCTTTACCCTTTCTGTGGCCCTGGCCAGGGACCCAGCATGGCACCAACACCAGCCACAGAACAGGACGCGCCTCCATCCGAGAGGCCACAGCCCTCCCATTGCCCCTGGAAAGAAGGCACGCCCGTCAGGGACAGCGGGAGATTCTCGCGAGGCCTGCTGTGTCTCGCGATATCTGGGTCAAGCCTGCCGCTGCCTTGGCTACCAGGCTCCTCAGGTGGTAGCGTTTGTAGTCGTGCTACGGAGGCCGGGTCGCCAGGTTTCGGGTAAGTTCGCGTTTTGTTTCGTGTCTGTTCCTGCCACTTTGCTCCGCTCCAGAGCGTCTCTAACTTACTTGCAGGAAAACGCGATCGGCTCCCGCGCTTGCACACTGGTCACCACCTGGGGCCGTGCCCCTGCTCGTCCCAAAGCCACCAGCCTTTGTCTCGACCTAGCGGCCCCCAGCGGCTGGTCTGCCGCGGGCCTTCCGTCTGGGGCTCCCCTGCCGCCGGCCCTGGAAATCAGCACATCTGGAGCAGGGGAGACGCCATCCGCCTGCAGTTGGTTCTGAAGAGTGGCCGGGATACGAGGGTTTCTTCAGGAAGTGTTGAAGAAAATGGGGATTTCATCTTAGAAAAGAAACCCGTGAGGGATGTGATAACTTTTTTCAGTTGTCCCACACGATAAAGTAGGGCCTGAGGGGCGCAGACAGCATGGCTGATTTTACTGTAATAAAAGGAAGCCTCTTTCTAGAAACTATAAAATAGTGGTTCGAAGCTCAAGTTCTGAGGTTAGGCAGTTCTGGATTCTGACCAGGGTGCTCAACCAGGTATTTGACCGCTTAAAGACCTGATGACCCTAGTTGAAAAATGAAAATCATAATAGTAAGTCATATATGTAAAGTGATTTTTTACAATGCCTGTGGCTTTTTTACAATGTGGATTTTTTACAATGCCTGTGTCCAGACTGGGTCTCATTATCCCGACTTTGTGGATGAGAAACTGAAAGCCTGAGAAACTTTGCTATTTAATATTTATTTATTTATTTATTTATTTATTTATTTATATTTGGGCTGGACTTTTACTGTGGGGCAACACTATTCAATATGCTGGGGCTATTGCACAGAACAAGTCAGACAAGATCATTTCTGTTCTGGAGGACTCATGAAATAATCAAGTAACAGATGCATATAAATAAGGGAATTTCAGATCATTATCTGTACGAAGGAGACAGTGGAATAGCATAATGTGACTGAGAGTGATGATGAGGAGGGGTAGGTAGTAAAGATCTTTCTGAAGAGGTCAAAGTAAGGTCTTTCAAAGAAGCGACATTTGAGTCTAGTCCTGAAAGATAAGGAGATACCTACATAATGACAGTTCCAGGCCATTGCAAAGGCCCCAAGGCAGGAAAGAGAGATGATTGAAGAACAAAAAGGAGGCTAGTGTGTTTCTAGCATAGTGAGCTGGGTGGAAAGTGGAAGGAAATGGGGTCAGAGCAGGTATACAGAAGCCCAATAACCCTTTGAAGCCATTCTAAGGATTTGGATTTTGTTCTAAAATAATAAGCTATTGGAGTATTTGAAGCATAAGGATATTTGATGTATCACATTTTTAAAAACGATACTGATTACTTTGTAGAAAATAGATTAAAAGGGAGTGGGAGAACAGAAATAGAACAAGAGGCAGGCTGGCAAGTGGCATGGTGGTAAGGGCGCTGGACTCCGACATGGCCGACCTCAGTTTGAGTCCTGGACCTGGCGGCTTGCTTTCTCACTTTTTCTCGCTCTCTCTTTCTCCTCATCTCTGGTCAAATTTAAATAAATAAATAAATAAAGTTAATAAAATGATTCTTAAAAAAAAAAAAAAGAAATAGAAAAAGAGGTAACTGCAGTAATCCACATGAGTGGTAATGGTCACCTTGAATGAGTAATTGATTAACTTGTGGTCACAGGGCCAGAAAATTGCAGAGCCAATAACATTCAAGTATCTTCTGATTCCTTTCTACTCAGGCATACTGAAAAATTTCAAAATTCTAAGTTTCTGCAAATTGACTGTCATCAACGCAAATCACGTATGAGCATGAATGTCCTTCAAGCCAACAATACATTCTCTCTGACCATTCTTTTTCTGCAGACACTCCTTCTGTATAGCTCCAGGTAGCAGTATAAGTATGTTTGTTATAGTGTTTTTTGTTTTGGACTTTCTATTATTTTATTTGTAATTGCATAATGAAACTTTTCATTTCTAAGCTACAGTAATCTTGCTAGCAGTAAAGTGGTATTAGTCTTTGTAGCTTTGTAACTTAATAAAACAAAATATGCATCATATTGGTCTTAATGCAACAATAACAATTCGTGTTTATAAACTACTTCTGGATAATAAAATATTTTTGGCATTTCACTTCTATTAAGAAGGTACTGTGTATAGTAACATCATTTTTTTTTTCATTCTCCAATTAACTTTTTACTTGGAAATAGTTTCAATTTTACATAAAAGTTGCAGTAGTACACACATTTCCTTTGTATCCTTTACCTAGATTCTGTAATCTTTAACATTTTTATATCATTTGAAAATAGATTGCAGATGTTCCAGAACCATAAATTTTGTACTTACCTGTGTATTTCCTAACTACAAGTACACTTTCTCCTTCATAACTACAGTACAGGCATCAAAATCAGGAAGTTAACATTAATCCAATAACATGAGTAGTCAGTTTGGGCTACGGTACAAAATGCACAGATTGGGCTACTTAAAAGAAATGTGTTTTCCAAAGTGTGGAAGTTCAGATGTCCAAGGTATCTTCTGATCAGTTCCTGGTGAGGGTTCTCCCTGGCTTGCAGCAATTCACCCTATTGCTTTGTCTTTGTTTGTAAGGATACTGATCCCATGGGGCAGAGTCCCATGTTCATGACCTCTTAATCTTGTTCCTTAATTCAAATACAGATACACTGGTGGTTAGGACTTCATATAAATTTTGGGAGACAGACATTCAGTCCTTAACACCATGTTATCCATGGATTCTATTTAAATTATCATTTGTCCCAGTCATTTCCATTTTAGGTCTGGGATTCAATCAAAGATTACTCATTGTTTTTAGTAGTCATGTCTTTTTAGTCTTAAAGACTAAAGAGTTCTTAAAGACTAAAGAACCTTTTCTCTTTTTTCATGACCTTGACAATTTGAAAAAAAAACACAAGCTGGTTACTTGGTATAACGCCCCTCAGTATGGGTCTGTGATGTTTACTATTGGTTTATGAACGTTGGCAGGAACACCATAGAATGATGTTGTACTCTTAGTAAATCATATTAGGAATCTCATGATGTCCATTTATTCCATGACTATGACGTTAACTTCTATATTAAGACTGTGGGCCAGCCTGTGGTGTGGTGGTTGAGGCGCCTGACTCTCACATACACAATGTGCGATTTAAGTTCCAGGCCCTGTGGTGTGAGAATCACTTCAGGCTCACCTAAAATCTCAAAGGAAAAAGAAATGGAAAATGGATTGCAGTGTGACCGTGACCCATGGGAGTGCTTTCTCACTTTCCCTCTCTCTCTCTCTCTCTCTTTTTTCTGTCTGTATCTGGCAAGTGTACATGTCTTCTAGCAAAATTTAAGGAAAAAAAACTTCATGTCTGCCTGGCTTCTCTATCAAAAGGTTAATTAATAAGTATGTTACACTTATTAATCAATAAGCAGTTAACCCACTGTCTGGAAAAGCTTTAAGACTGTATAAATATTCTGTTTCTCATTAAACTTTCTACTGCAGATTTAGCATTTATTGATGATTATTGCTAGAATCTTGTTATTTCTATGATGGATGCCAAATGACAGCTTTCTAATGTTATCACTCATTCTAGATTTATAGTTAGCACTCAACTGTAAAGTAGAGCTTTCCTTTCACCATATATGTATATATATATATATATATACACACATTTTTTAAAAGACTTATTTAATTTTATTTATTATTATTGTTTAACATGTGCTATAGGGCACGTGTATTCACGAGAGAGAGAGGTAAAATGAGAAAACAAGCCACCAGGTCTAGGACTTGAACCACGGTCAGTCATGTGGGAGTCCAGTGCCTTAACCACCATGTCACCTGCTGGCCCCCTCCATATACTTTTATTTCATTTACTTGTTTCTGATTTATTAATTGGTTATAGTGTACCAAATGGTTTTTCACAGCATGCATATAATTTTCAATGATCAAGTCACAGATATAGACATCTTTATTTTCTTCAACATTTAACATTACAGTTATGTTGTACACATTCAATAATAGTTCTACTAGTATTTTTTGGAAGTATATATTGAATCAGTGTGCCTCAGAGTTTTAGTTTGCTTTTCTATTTTAGTCTATTTTCTGTTTTTAAACACAGAAATATCTGAGTTTGAATAATTTACTATTATTATTATTTTAAATATATATATATATATATATATATACACACACACAAATTTTTATATATGTGTGTGTGTGTGTATATGTATGTTATTTAATTAAGTTCTTAGCAAGGAATTTAGGATACCAATTTGTGAAGATAAACTCTGTTTATAAGGGCAAACATGGATCGCAGGTAGTCCTGGAGTGGAGGAACAGCTTTGATTTTTGGTGAAATTCGTGAGTCCACAGATTTCTCATCAACCTTGCGCTGCTCTGTAATCTCACGTTTCTCTTCTCTGTGTCAAAGATCTCACCTTCCTGGTGTCTGGGCTTCTGCAGCTTCCTTTTGTTGAAATATAGGTATCAGTGAGGTGTTTTGGGATTTTTACTTTGCTAATATCAATTTTCATGCAAGTGACAATGGCAAATATCTGGTTTGTTCTATGTACTGAAACTCAATAGAGGACCAGTGATCCAGTCACAAGTAGCAAGTCACCGCTCAATTGCTTCAGGAATGCTCTTGCCTCTGTGGTATCCAATGAGGATGATCAGAATGGTCCCAGGAGCGATGCTAGCTCGTGGCTTTCTCACATGCTGACTCAAGGGTTTTTTGCTGTGGCTCAACAGCTTTCGAGGCACATCTTCAATAGGATAATACCTAAGAATTTTGTGAAGATTAACCACCCAGGTACCACCAATCTTGTCACCACCAAGTGGTTTTGTGACAGTGGCAAGAACTTTGTCCTTTTTCTTTTCAATTCTGGATTTAGTGGCCGAGTATTTCATCTTGTACATGGCCTTCCTGGAATACATCACAGATTGAGAGTATCTGCCAATTCTTCTGATTAAAACTGGGTTTTGGGTGCAATGGAGCTTCCCCTTTTTGGGGTTTTTAACCTTGGGATTACCCTTTTTAACCTGCCGCTGGGATCAGCCTTCTTGGCTTCAGGTTTCTTCTGCTTATTATCTGCCTTTTCTGCTTTTTCACTTGTCATCTTGTATAATGGGAAAATGAGATTGAATAATTTATAAGAACAAGGTTTTTTTAGCTCATGGTTTTAGAGGTCCATGGTCAAAGGGCCAGATCTGGTGAGAAGAGGATCTTCTTGTTGGTAGGAATGCTTTAGAGAGTTGTGAGGCAGTGCAGGGCATTACATGTCAAGAGCAGTCCAAAGAGTTTTTATAAGAAGTCTATCCATGTACTTAGGTACAATTATAATTCAACATTGGGAGATGCTGAAATATATGTGTTTTTTTTGTTTTTTTTTTTCCTTTTTTTATTTCAATTTATTTATTTGCATTCATTCACTGTACATCATTATAGCGCACAAAATGAGATTTTCCATCCAGAGTACACTGTATGTTGTCTCAATCAAGCACATCAACAAACATATTATTGTCAGCAAATGATCTTCCATTTCTTGTTTTCTGTATGTTTTGCTTTTTTCCCCCCCATCCTTGATTCCCTATCTCTTACCCTCTGCAATCTCCCACTCTCCTCCCACAGGGTCTCTGGTATCTATGTTTGCTTTCTATACCATTTTCCCCCCACATTTTATTGAATCACCAAAGACCCTAATCAATCCAAATACCCTCATAGCAAACACAGGTGACACACACATTTCCATGAACACAAGTCTAACTTTATGCATCCTATAAAGTAGCACCTAGCTGGGGCTACATATGAAATATATGTGTTTTAATCTGCTGTGTTTCTAGTAACAGAAATACCCGAGACTGGGTAATTTATAAGTAAAGTTTATTTAACTCATGGTTTTAGAGGCCCAAGGTCAAGGTGTCTCATCTGGAGAGAGTCTTCATCTGGTTAGGGTCTTCTTGCTGTGGATAAAATGGCAGCCCTCTGCAGAGTCAGAAATAGCATAAGGCACCACAAATGCAAGAACTTGAGGAGAGCTGGAATGTACATGTCTGTGTCCATGTGCCTGTCTCATTCACTCTCCTCATAAATCCACCAGGATTGAGTCATGGGAGCCCCATCCTCATAATCTTAATTCCAGTCACCTCCCAAAGACCCCAACTTTCAACACCATAGTCAGATTAAGTCTCTACCCTCTCAACATCTTTACAATAGCTCAGCGTATATATATATATATATATATATATATATATATAAAGAGAGAGCTCTAAATGAATATATAACCCTGGGCTGCAGTTCCTTTGAGTCTGAGTGTGCTTGTGATATTGCATAAGTCATTGTGATATTTAATGAATGCTAAATAAAGGGTTCCACCAGGAATGGAACTGGAGCTCCTCAGGGCAAGTCTAGTCCAACCCTGTTCTGCAAGTAGAGGTATTGATGACACACTTAAAATATCAAGGGCCAAATTGACACTTTAGACTACACACCTTTAATTTGCAATATCCTTCATTAGCAGTAAACAATTTACTCCTTGTAAACTCTATTGTTAGCCATGAGCAGGTCCAATTTTGCATATGAAGTAAAATAAATTATTTTTCTCATGAACAATTTTTTAAAGTTTATTTTATTTTGTTTTCATTTTATTTTATTTCCGTTTTTTAAAGTTTATTTCATTTATTGAGAGAGGCAAGGAAAGAGGTACCCCTCACAGGATCTCATCATGCTGACTCTCCCAGCTAATCTTAGGATCATGGAGCAACCTGGGATCTAAACCTCCATGTGGCCCAGTATCCTGTAGCAGCGCCCTACCATTTGTGGCACTGCAGCTGACCTCATACAAACCACTTTGATAGTCACATAGTGTTTCCTTATCTGATTGTGGCTTT